CACACACACACACACACACACATATATATATATATATATATACTGTATATATATATAATTTTTTTTTTTTTTTTACCTCTTGGTCTTTATTGGGATCTATCTGGTTCAGCTTTGGTCTCTCCGTTCTGCTTGTCGCTGGACTTCTGTGAGAGATGAGTGGAAACGGTGGCTGCCTGGACCACGGCTTTGAAGCTGCGCTTGCGCTTCTGAACATTCTGCTCTGGGTGGAAGATGATGACATAGACTTTGGGGATGTACAACATGCCCAGGGACACCGTGGCGCTCAAACTCATGGACACGGTCAGCGTGGTGGTCTGAATGAACATCTGGTTCAGGGCAGAAAAAAGATTAAGAGTAATATTTTAGCCTGGCCTCAGCCATGACCTATCACATGATGTAGATCAGCCGTCAGGGCTTTAGCACTGAGATATCACTGCACATTACACATATATATAAACTCTGTTGATTGTCACAATGCATTTCCTGGAAATTAGTATAATGACTATTAAAAGACAAAGGGCTGAAATCAGCCATGTGAAATAATTCAATCAGTTTATGCATGTGTAATGCGAGCCAAAAAACTGACCCCTTATATCATGTGTTTATTGCAATTTGAGTCATTTATTTCATTTAGTTCATTTATAATATATATACTGTAATTGAGACCTCTTATATTTCATGAGATTATGCAGCATGCAACCAAATAATTACTGCTTTAAGTCTAAAATGCTGTTAAAAATGTCACACAAGAAGCTGTGATGGTAAAACTGTTTCCCCCCTATTAGAAATATAAAGATAAGCAAAATATACTTTAAAAAACAACTAAACATGATAAAATGTAAGATAGCAGCACACAAATATATACTGCAGCCCGCTGTATAGTCTGGTATTTTATTCTTCCATGCTCATCTTTTCATTTCTTCATTTCTTGTGAAGACTTGAAGACCACCTGAGGGCCAAAAGCTTTGCGGTTGACCGGCCTCTAAAAGACCTCTCTATTAATCAGAGTATACTTTCCATTTTTAAATCCCTGTGCTTTGTAAGCAAAACCATCCCCCACAGGATGAATAGACGTGAAAAATTGAATGACTAAATGCATGAAGTGTGGCTAGCACCTGAACAGCTTTTAGGCCAACACAAAACAGCACCACAATTAAATAGCAATTGTGTTAACCTGATATTAGATACAGTTTTTTAGGTTTCTATTATCTGACTATGGCTGAAGCATTCACAAGAAAATGTTGCAGCATCATTAACTGAAACAGAACCATCTAATCTAGTGAAATGCATGTCTAGACACTCTCAGGGTAAAGATCATATTCTGTATGATGTTAATATCAGGCACTAGTGAATCTTCTACACTAATATCACAGTAACAAGACTCAGGATTTTATATGAATGACTACATCTGAACAGATATGCCAAAAGACCCAAACATAAATAGTCAAACAAAAGTGAAATTAATATGAATAAATAATATTAATTAAATAATATTAAATTAAATTCAAAATAGTTGGTAAGAAAATCAATATGACATCTCTTTTGTTTTAAATGTGTCCTTAAAGTCTAATTTTAATGTGTTTTTTTACATAATAAAATATGTAGTAATGGAAAAACAAAAAGTACATCTATTATTAACTATTTTGTTTTTCTGTATAGAGTTATTGCCTATTAAAATGTGATCATCTCTGTCCAAAATCCATCTTAATCTATATTATATTAACAATGTACCTTTTCTGTGGATTGTGATGTGCCAAAAAATATGGGCACAAAGGCCAGCCAGATGATACAGGTGGTGTACATGGTGAAGCCGATGGGTTTGGCCTCATTGAAGGTCTCAGGAACCCCTCTGCTCTTAATGGCATAGACTGTACATGTGACCATCAGCACCATACTGTAGCTCAGACAGCCAATCAGAGACAGATCTGACATATCACATTTCAGGATCCCACGAGCATACTCAGGGTTGGGGGGACGTAGCTCATCAAAGTCGACAGTCGTGTGAGGGGGAATCACTCCAAACCAAATGAAAACACCCAAGAGCTGTGAGCAGAAAAGAGGTAGGAATGAATGTTTATACAAGATTAATGTCTGTAATGGTCCATGATATCTAAGTTATATCAATTCACTAAGAATTCAACTCCAACAATTCTCTGAACATCTTTGTGAAGGAGACCATGTTTCTTAATGTTTCCTCAAATAATATGCAGTAACAACGTTAATGGAACACCAAAAAAGAGAAGAGCTTTCAGTGAAATTACTGCACCTCCATGCTACACTCAAAATATTGCTTCATTAATTATTCAATGGACAAGAAGTTCTCAGACAAAAATGTCTTTCGGGAACACAGAGACAGTGACAACCCTGTAAACATCTTGCACAGCAGTTACTCTGAACAAGAGTAAATTAAGCACAGATTATTATGCAAATAATTTAAATTAACATTGACTAATGTTGTGCTATTATTATAGACAATTTTTTAATATCTTAATTATTATATAATTAAAATAATTTATTATTATTATTATTAATAATAATAATTTTCATTTTCAACAAACAAAATTGCAAAAAATCTGTTGAACACTTTTGAATACCTCAAAACATTAATTCATCACATATGGGAATATAATAATACTACATGTTATATATAAAACTAAAACTAAAACTTGCTTTGAATAAAAGCATCTGCTAAATGAAGAAATGTTAATTTATCATATATATATATATATATATATATATATATATACACACACATATCTAGAGATACATTAGTTCACCTTCGAAATGTATGTTGCTCAAGGTCTGGTAGCTCGCTTTGAATAAAAGCATCAGCTATATGAAGAAATGTAAATTTATCACAGACATACACGCACCTGTACTGAGATCAAAATAAATGTGATGATCAGCTGGGATGTCGGGCTGATAAATTTTGGTGGTGTGACTGATTTCTTTCCCTGCTCAAAGATCCTGTAGATCCGATTTGTTTTGGTGAGCATGGCAGAGTAACTGATGCACATGCCCAGCCCCAAAAACAACCTGCGAAATGCACAGACCACCGTGCTCGGCTCAGCGATCATGAGGAAGGTAATAAGATAGATGAGGAAGATGCCCGTCAGGAGAACATAGCTGAGCTCTCGGCCCGAAGCGCGGACTATGGGGGTATCGTTAAAGCAGATGAAAGTGATGATGACTCCTGATGTAGCAAGAATGCCCAGCACTGCCAGAAATACTGGGATGATGGCCCACGGAGAGCTCCACTCCAGCTTGATGATGGGAGTAGGACGGCAGCCCGTGCGGTTAGGGGTGGGCCTCATGTCAAAGGGGCACATATCGCAGTTAAACTCATCCAGGAGGTACTGATAGCCGTCACATAGCTCACAGTGCCAGCAGCACGGCACACCCTTCACCATCCTCTTCCTCTCCCCAGACTCGCAGGGAAAACTGCAAACCGAGTCTGGAACCAGTTTATCCCCTCCAGACCACTGCATGTCCTCAGCCTTACAGAAAGAGAGGAAAACTTCAAGAACATGCATTCAAAAATGTTGCAATCTACCAAGGGGCTTAACATGCTTACATTGAGTCGTAAGTGGTTGGTCCACTGGCCAATTACTTTATATCCCGGATTGGTGGTATTAGAAAGCTGGTACTGGAAGATATCGTATCGTCCTGGGGCATCACCGTTTTCATTAAACATCACACCTGTTCCAGCACTGCCTTCAGAGTAAACACAGGATTTTGAAATTCAACATCACTACTTATTACTTCAAATGCAATCATTTGAAACAAGAGAATAGAAACGACCCATTTCAAGGGCATGAAATTGCACTAATGCGTAGAAATACATGTTTCGGCACACCCTTTGATTTGAAAGTGAAATTGTCAAATGTAACTTTAAAGGTGACTTTTTTTGCTTACAAGAAAATATGGTGTTCTCAGATGTAATTCTGTGAAGATAGATGTTACAACAAAGTAAACTCAATTTCATGGTCCTTTCAATTTATAAACCACAAATCACGAGGGGCAAGGTCACGCGGCGTGTTTTGTTCCCCTTAGGCTCTCAAAGCTGAAAAGATTTCCATACAAAAGTGTGAGGACGTCCACTGTGCGTAAACTGAATAGCTGTGCTTTTCATAGAAATCTCTCAGGAGCGAGTGACGAAAAGGATTTTCACCGAGAGATAGCGCTGAAAAAGGAAATGCGCCATGTGTTTGGAGAGAGGCTGCCCTAGGGAGAATGAAAGACAAGGAGAGAGATGAGTGGAGGGGGTTAAAACAAGTATGTGCGCTGCTGCATTGTGCATTAGTGGATCTCTTCAGGCTGGGATTGAGTGCTGTCCTCTCTCGCCCTACTCTGACTAACCCATGGGACTCACAGCCCTCCTCCTTGGAAACAGCAGCTTCGTTTCTGGCCTTTTCCCTCTTGAGGAAACTACTCTGCACCTATTTTCACCTGTCAGTCTCACAGTAACGTCTCAAACCTTCGATTTGAGATTGTTTGGCAAAAGCAGGTTCATTATGTGTAATCTTCCTGGCAGATTCAAACAAAAGCGTTCCTCGGAAATAAAAGCTTACATTCAAATTCCTGTGATGTTCATAAGTCTTGTACTGTATGAATACAAACCCATTACTGAAATTCTGACTGTTTCAAGGTCTCTTCGCAATGTTTGGAATGGCTCACATGCTTCAGCTCTGTCCTTGAGAAGGCTTACCATTAAAATTGATGGCACGGATGTAACTCAGCAGCATTCTTCCATCCACCGGGTCCATTTTGTCACAAACGCCCATCGAACCCAGACAGAGGTCAATGTGCATGCTATGGAGTGCGTGGGCCATGGCGTACACAGCGTCGATCACAAACTGCACCTTTCCTTCCTGCTCGTATGCCGAATCCCGGCTGATTCGTTCCTCTCCTGAAAGACCGAAAGCATCAAGACAGGAATCTAAAAGCTTTGCTGAGGGAATAATCCACTTAGATGTGCTTTACACGTCTTAAAGGCATATGAACGTATGATAATTCAAGTACTACTGCATTTATGGGAGCAATTTGTTGGAAATTATTTCCTAGCCTGTGCATTTCCTCAGCCCGCTGTTGCCTCGGATTCCAGGCCGTGTCAGTTTGCATTTGAAGTCATCCTCCCAGAACTCAGCGAACCAGATGTTCCTCCTGTTGTTTTCCAGTGATCTTGTTGTGAAGTATTGGTCAAAACCTGAGAAACAGATTAAAGGGGTATGAAAAAATGAAGCATTTGTGTAATCATTACAAAGCCTTGTTATTTTTTCTATGGAACAGATAAGCAGAATTTTTGTGTGTTCTTTGTCAATTTCAACTGTAGTTTTATAGCAAAAGCTGCATTACTATTCTTCAAAAACAGGATACATGTTTGGAATGACATGGATGATTACAGTATTTTTGGTTGAACTATCCTCCTTATAAGTATGAAAATGTTACCTAACACTGCATTTAGATGGATTTTCCTTTTTAATTATCAAGCCTTCATTGATTTTACAATGGCCTGTGCTATCATTTCATACCATCAATAGATGCCCGCTTGGGGAGGATAGTAACCGCACCCTCAGCCACATCTTCCAGGTTTAGAATGGGTGAGTTTTTTGCTCCCCAGCTATCAGATCCCACAAACAAAAAGTGACCTGTAAGATTGGCTTTTTTTGCTGCTTCCAGGACACGCCTTCAATAAAAGAATACAAAAATATCAGACACCTCACAAAAGGCAGGTTTATTAAAGATAAGGACGATCAGATCCATTATAGTTAGGAATCTGTTGATTACTGCGGATTTCAAAACTAAATAAATAAATCGATAATTTAAAGCATTTAAGGCATCCTTGCTGAATAAAATACTAATATTTCCTCAAATATTTAAAAATAAAAACTGTTTTCAGCATTGATAATAATAAGAAATGTTTCTTGAGCACCTACTAATTAGATTACTATGTATCATTTTATATTAATTTTAAAACATAAATTTCACTTTGTGGTCCATTCATTTGCCATAATTTCATAATTTCTTCCGAGACTCCTGATATTCCCATTGTAGGGTGATTGATCTGTTCTCTAATCATTTATAAACCCTTTCCAGAGCCATAGCTCCTGCCTCAGAGAGATTCAGAATTACTACTGAAAGACTACTCACTTGATGTCATCTTCATTAGCGAAGATAATAACCCCTCTGGCATTGGATGTCTCCATTAGCCTTTTGATGATCTTGTCAAACTCTCCTGGTCTTGGCTCCCTAGGAATTTTAATGG